ACGACGTACAGAATCTAGGGGGAAAAATTGAATATCTCTAACGCAGGCTGAAGTGTGGTTGTCAGTTCTATAACGAATTTTGTTATACAGATAACCAGGAGTTTACTTAGTGATAATCTTAAGGAACATACAAAATTGAATGCAACATCCCTCTACATTTCATTCGTAACATTTGTTTGTGGGAGTAGTGTCGAGAAACATGATCTCGCCTCCTAGCTCTCCTGAGTAATAGGTGCATTGAATTACTGGGGCTAGAAGTATATTCATACAGGGTCCGTTAGAAAGAACGCATGTTTTTTAAATGAGTAGTACAGTCAGAATAAGTATGGGAAAAAATATTTTATTCTATCAAAATGCTCAGAAGTACATGCCTTTTTTTGATTAAAACAAAATTTACGTTCTAAAAATTATGTTGGCCATATGGTGTCCTTAAGCCGAAATGCAGAAATCAAGCCTCTCCCGAAATGGGCCCATTGCGTTGGCCAGCATCCGTGCAGGAATTTGGGTTACTTCTCTTCTTATTTCCTCCTTCAAATCGACGAGGTTCCGATGCTTGCTTTGGTAAACTTTTGATTTCAGGTAGCCCCATAATGAAAATCACACGTTGACAGGTCCGGGGAGCGAGGGGGCCATGGAGTTCCATAAAAGTATGAGCTGTGTGAGATGTTGCCCCATCTTGCTGGAACCACACTGTTCCGAGACGGACACGTCGACGTCGAAGTTCCGGAAAAAAAAGTTGTTCAGCATGTGGATGTAACGCTCTGAATGCACAGTAGTTGTTTCTCCATCATCTTCAAAAAAATGAGGGCCAATAATCATCGTTGGGCCTACTGCACACCAAACTGTAACTTTCAGGGTGTGCAGGGGGTGCTCATGCAACTGTTGGGCGTTCACTGGAGACCAATATCGACAATTTTGTTTATTGGCGTATCCACGTAAATGAAAGTGTGCTTCATCACTCAGAAAGAACGACATGTCATTGTTATCCAACTGTTAAATCATGAGCTGTGCAAAATTAACACGTTGTGCATAATCCCCTGGCAACAGTTGTTGGCAAACTTGGATTTTGTAAAGATGGAACACTAAATCCTTCTTCAATATGCGACGTACACAGGACGCGTGGATCCCTAGGAAACTGGCACGCAAACGGACGGTACGATTCGAGCCCTGCGGCGTGTCAACTCTCACTCTGTCTATGTTTTCGGGGGTTCTAAGAGTACGGTTTCGCCCTGGCGGTTTTTTCTTCATCATATTACCTGTTGTGTTGAATGCTTCCACCCATCTCAAAATACTGTTATGGTCTGGTACTGTCCCACGACGTGGAACACGAAAGTGAACGCGAAACTCACGTTGCGTTCGAACGACAGACTCGCCGTTTTGAAAGTACCGACGTACAGTGAACACACGATGCTCAACGTGCCAACTGAAATGGCACTTCTCCCACTATCCAACACGCCCTTTCCGATCGACACGGGACCAGCCCACTCGAGGTAGTACCCATTCGAAAAACATGCGTTCTGTCTGACAGAGCCTGTATATTTACATCAAAAAATTGCTATGCCCCGTCACCTACGTCGTCTCTGTAATCGCCTATCCCCCAATTGTTTCACTCTTAAATTGAAAAAAAAAAATGATCAGGTTCCTTTGAAACGTCAAAAAACGAATATTTAACAATTTTTATTTTTCACCACTGCCACTGAACCGATTTCTATAGCTCTATTATCCTTGAAATAGTACTAGTAGTACTTCTGTGAAAATTTCATTTATATCCGAGCAGTACTTTCCAAGTTACAGACGGGCCAATGATTAGCGGACAGACAGACAGACCGACCAAAATGGGTGACATGTTTTTTCGTGATGTACATGTCATATAACATCCAAAAAAACATAATATCTCATTTTCGAAATGTTTCGCGATAAAAATACTTTGTCACCAGTATGAGTAGGAAGTAACAAGATTAAAAGTCATGAACTTTTACAACACAGAAAGCTGCAAGCGAAAGCATAAACATGCTGATCAAAACGTAGACTATTAGAACATGAATGATCATTAGAAGCTCGGGCATATACCTATTAGAGCCTGTAAAATATCCCATTCATATGTCATTTAGCATTCGCTATGGCTGCTTCAGAGTAATGCCCATCTGTTACGTATCACAGAGGCTCAGCAACCAGCCACTACAAAACCGATTAAATACAGTAATTATCGCAGGAACGGATGTTAAAGTAGTCGGGTTTAGAGTGTGATTGAAATTGGAACTAATGAAAGATTAGTCGAACACTCAGTCAACCCTCGCTTTTGAAATGCGTAGTAGAATAGAGTTTGAGCCTGTTCCGTTTACAGGAGGACGTATAATGTGTTTTGTTTTAAAGGAAGCACACAAGAATAAAATACTGAGCAACCTTAGTCTGATGAATGCAATAAAACCTGGTAGAACTTCATTTTTATCCGGCCAAGCGAAAGCACATATGTATGTTAGAATTACATTTTACTAACATTTCGACCACCACAGTGGACTTGCATACATCGGTGGCAATGAAACTGTATATAATTATTTATTTACTGCAGGTGACAATTCGTTTGTTTTGCATTCTACGCCACTGGGCGAGGCAGGATTGTAATCACTAAGAGTTTAGAAAATGAGGTATTATTTTTCTGGAATGTTATACGAGTATGACATGTACATCACGGTAGGGTAGGGCAGGGAAAGGATTCCTATGGACTGATTGTATGAGCCTGTTTGACTGACTTGGTCAGTTTAATTTCTCTATCCTTTATAAACTGATGACGGTGCTACGTAGGAAGTGCAGAGTCAACGTACTTGACGCCACTTCTTTTCCGCTACCATTCTGGCCAAATTGGATCTACCTGTACCATATTGCTATGGGCATGATTTATCTTGATGTGATCTGATACTCTAGCAGAAAATGATTTAAGAATTTAGATAGTCCCAAAAAACACCATCCTAGAGATTTTGAACTCGGGAAGTCAGGAACCACGGATGTCAGAAGCTCATGTCGGTGATCTCCAATCATGCTAATAAATAATTAAAGAACTTCTGTTTCATGAGGCTTAGACAAAGCATAGTAGGGATAAGCAGCACACAAATATGAAAAACATAATAAAAATATATTATCTGATATTCAAAACACCTTTAAAAGTACATGATTCATGTATAAATTCTGACGCGGCTTTTACCACAAAAAAATCACAAACCTATTTTTGAGGTTTCAAAATTATCAATATCTCTAATGGTTTTGCTTAACTTATTGTATAATTTTATTGTCGTATAATTAGGGCTTCGTTCATATAAACTTAAGTTATCATTAGAAACAATGATACTTGAGAAATACCAACTCAATCTACTTGATTCCATTTTTCAATTAGTTTTTTTCGTAAGGTAAAACCTTTCAGACTTGCAGTCTTCAACACTAGTCATAGAGCCCGTCTGTCAAATAAAATATAATGTTGCCGACTTGAGGTAGGGTTTCTTCTGTCATGCGGATTATCTCACTTATCAAGATAAAAGTCGAAACGATTTTCGATAAGAGGTTTGACGTGGTAAACATATTTCCAACATACACAAAAATCCTTAGCCAGAAGCACTTTGTACCTCTTTTAAATATTATAAATTCTATAAAAAAATTATAAAAGCCGATCCAAAAGTTTCGGAACGGCAAAGTATTTGCGAATATTCACGAGCTACGAGAAAAGTGTAAGATAGTAGTGGACTATGATTTTTCCCTCGCTATTTAATGGTAATCTTGAATTTCATCTTAGCCTCCAAGGTCAAATCAATGCCAAAACGATTTTGAGTGAACATCAATTTTCCCTTAAATATTCGGGTCAAGGTCAGAGTAAAAATACCCCGTTTGGAGATTTTTCAAGTTTAAACTGACCTTTACTACGACCTTGATGCTCAACTCAACGTTAAAATAATTTTTTAAACGTACTTTTGACCCCGGTGATAGGTAGAATGGCAAATTTGCCGTTAAGCTATGTCCTTGGCTGAACATTATTTTGACCTTTTTGCTCGAAGTTATCGTAAAAAACTCTCGTTTAATAGAATTTCGGGGTTGTTCCAAATTAAAGGATCAAAGACAGCAGAAGCTTTACTTTATTCCTGGCAAAAGTTTTCGACCAAAACTAATAAAAATAGTATCTTTGGAATCAGAAAAAAGCGACTATCGTTTTAACTAAAAATACATAATAGGGTGCTCCATTTAAAAAACACAACTTCATGCGATTGCAGTTTCCTGAGAACTGATATGTAAGAAAGGCATTGCATTTAAAACCTTATATTAGACTCAACAACTTTTGTCTGAAACTTTTTTCTATACGGTCATACAAAAAAGTTTGAGGGGTGTCAATCTATAACGGGTACGAGTACTATAAGTAAGGTCAATATTTATTAATCCAGGAACTAAAGAGGAGGTAATTATAAACGTTTGTCTCTTTTTGCTGTTCTCACCCTAAACATAGCATGCAATTACAATGTAACACAGAAAACATCATAATGCTGGTTGTATAACAAAATAACTAACCTATGTACATATTATACGAGGTCATCTCATATACTTTTCGCTAGGATCAGGACAGGGTAGTAAAATCTCGTCATCCAAAGCATCTTAAGAATCCGTTTAGGAACTGTTTTCTATCTATGTGCCTCCCCCTTTTAATCAGAATATTCTCATGGAACCCACATAAGAGCATTTCTTATGTTCCTCCATCCTTCCCAATAAAGGTCCGCCACACAAAAACTCAGTTTCATAAATCATCGGCAGTCATCCGGCTTTATCAGCCTCCAGATTCTCCAGATACTCTCGCAGGAATTTTCTTGTTGTCGTGGCAGGATAAAGACTTCCTTTCGCCCCATTTCGTAATATTCTTTTATTGATGTGCGTGCAGGCGAGGGAAAAATCGTGTGTATGCGACTAATGTTAGGCGTGTAGGTTATGACACGCATTATTAAAGAAAAGATATTGAAATATTTTTCCAGAAATTAGGTACTAACACGTCTCATCTACATTATTATCCTTCCGCCATAACAGCTGAGTTTCTAGGAAAAATCTATTTCTACTTTACTCCAAGAACAGGTTAACATCTTTTATCCTAGCTTTTCTGGCAACTTGACTGCAACAAGACTAGGTAGGGGAGAGGGTTGGAAAAGCTAGCGCTGTATGCACGGTGATGAGAGCACCTTTGTTGGTATTAATACTTATGGAATCGCTGCCCACCATGATGGAATGCATGAGTGACTATAAAAGTTTTAACTTTTAAGCAAAGTATAGTGAAGCTCGTCAAATGTGGACGTGATTGCAAAATTACATATAATAATAACCAAGCACTTCTGATTACCTATGAGGTGTTGCGGTATTGTGCAAATTTTTCAACAACAGTTTTTCGGAGAGACTTTGCAACTGGCTATCCCCAGAGATGATAAGATGTCATCTATTTGCACTTTAATCTATTTGTCGCACTTAAATTACTATAAAAATTTAGAATTTACTCCTTTAGAACAATCAACTAAAAACACAATAAGATTATCCAAACGATTGTGTCTGATTTATCTTTAGACTACGTAAATTTGATCACATATCCACAAAATACCTGATACTTGAGTGGCTCAAAACAAGTGACCTTGCAAAATACAATAATTAGTCAGTGTTCCTCCATAAATTACGTTCAATGTCGTTATCTGGGAAAACATATTTTTAATGAATTAATCAGTAACAGAACCTTTGGAAACAAAGTTATTGTAATACCACAGCATATTACAATGTTGCTTAAACGCAGTTTTTCATATAATGCTGCAATTATTTACAACTCAACACCACCACTCTCACAAAAAATATTCATTATCAGATTTTCGTCAAAAAATTAAATCGTTCATGATTCGCAATTCAACTGACCACCGCATCACATAGTATTGTAGCATATATCATGTTTGATTTACCTAATCCTAATTATTATCTGGAGCTGTCATCAAATTTCTATTTATTCGACTAACTGCTGTCATTAGTGTAGAACAATCGCTGCCCTTCCTTCTCAATTAAGTATAAGAGTAACCAAACTAAACTCGCCAAGTAGAATTACTCTAAACCATAGTTGTTCTGTAGATCCTATTATTACTTATATTTTTTATAAAACACATCCCTCTCTCTACTCAAGAATCAGTGCTACTTGAGCAACTTACAAAAATGCATGCTATAATAAAATATCGACTGAAAGTGCTTGAAGTGAGTGATCCCTTAGGAGGTTACCCTTAGCACAAGAGAAATGAAGTAAATTTAAAAAAATAACTATATTTATTTAATTAGTTCGATTGAGCGATTCAAAACGTCAGCAATAATTTATGTTTCGATTAATTGGCCACTTGGCACAATCTGGTCCTCATAAATTATCAAGCTCAACTACCGATTTATTTGAAGTCCTGTACATGCACATGTATTATGGTTGCCAAAAATTACAACCAAAGTACACGTAAAGGGAGGAGTCAAATTAATACAATACGTGGATAAATATCATAGCTCCAAAAATATCTATAGCAAATTACAATCCGAACAAAAAAAAAACGTGCAGGTATAGTTTCGTAAATCGGAACATATTGTGTACTAACTACTGCAAGAATCATCAATAACAAGTCTTAAGCCTTTGTATGGCGGTCGTGGTATATGTTGACACTTTGTCGATCCAGAAAGACCATCGTGGCTTTGACCTTAGCTTTTGCAGCAAGCTGGTTTGGCAGATAGAGGTACTAAGAAGAATGCCCAAATGGTGCATTTACCAGTGACGATAGATTTCGAAACGCACTTTTTTAATTCATTTACATGGGTCAGAATTTTAAGATGCAGATTTGGTTAAATTCTATTTTGTACTATTGTATTATAGTTTCTTCTGGTACATTCTATTCTACCTGTATTCTAGTCTATGCTAGTATATCTAGTCTATTTTAGTCTAGTCTAGTTTATTGTAGTCTATTCTAATCTATTTCAGTAGTATATTCTAGTATATTCTAGTATATTCTATTATATTCTAGTATATTCTATTATATTCTAGTATATTCTAGTATATTCCAGTATATTCTAGTATATTCTAGTATATTCTATTATATTCTAGTATATTTCAGTATTTTCTAGTGTATTCTAGTATATTATAGTATATTCTAGTATATTCTAGTCTATTCTAGTCCATTCTATTCTGTTCTAGTCTATTTTAGTATATCGTTTCGTGTGGCTTCTGATAAACTCATACTTATCATTAGAGGCACTGCAATGAAGTTCCCTAGTGAGCATTGTAAGTAAAATTATTACTAATATTTCGTGCGCATGCTCCACTTTCAAGCAAGATAACACAGGTTCGAACGGCTTGGTATTCTTCAACCGGACAGTGTTTTGGTGGTTCAATAATACAACAACGATAAATAATCACAGGAATATTCAAATTGCCATGAGTGTCCCTACTAGGGCAGTGGCAATATTAAACCCTATTTTGTAATATTTTATAGATTTGGTTGTTGGAACTCTAGCTTGGAGCCGTCACATAGCTGGCAACCATAAATAGCTTCATTGATTTTGAAGTCCGATTAGAAAGAAGGTCATGATTTTGATTTGTGCGATGGCCATCGAACCTATCCAATATCCAATAGTAATGCTAGAAACATGTTCACATTTCAAACTGCAGTTTATTCAGGTCCGATTTTACTTACTAGGGCTACAAATTCAACCAATGAGAAGGCTTCGTTTGAAGTAATGGATCTGAAGAATATGATCGATGTCTTGTAAAATTTCTCAAACTAGAAAAAAATTATACGATTTGTGAAGTAACTGCCGTATCAAAACAACAAATACGAAATAAATCACTTGATATGACAGCAAATAAAGTATTTTATTGGAAGCAACAGTGTCTCAGTGTTGCTGTGCAAAATTCGGCTTGATAAATTATTTGAGGACATAAATAAAATTACACAATGCTAGTCTTTAGCAAACATCGAGTAAATTGTAAATGTACTTGTCTACTGTAGGAACAACCCTGTTCCTTGAGCCTGCCCTGTTAACAGAGAGCTATCGCGCCCTCTACTGGGCAGTAGCTCAACTACTTCTAGCCTTGCCACAGTTACCGCGGGGTAGCGTGGTTGTGTAGTCATCCTGTCGTTCAGTAGAGTGCGCGACATCTTCCTGTTAACAGTGACTATGTTAATTATTTACTCGGTGTTTGTTAAAGAACATTCTGTAATTTTACTTATGTCTTCAATTAATTTATTGAGCAGAATTTTGTGCAGCAACAGTGGGACACTGATATTTTCAATAAAATGCTCAGGAAAGGCGACATGTCAATTTATTGCATCAGGTTTGATCCATGTCTCGAGTGTGCCACAAATCATTTTTGATTGATGGAATTTGCGTCAACATTTGGGTCCGGGACACAAATACAAAAAAAAGGTTTTTGCGACTGAATCATGCGATAAGTAAAGTATTTCTTGATTTAATATGAGAATTAGGAGCCCATCTTACACAAATCGCATACTTTTTCTCTAGTTTGAGAGACATTTTACAACAGATCGACCAAATCCCTCAGGGGGACTTCAAAATCGTCTTCTTATTGGTCCAATGTGTGCCAAAGGTGCAAATTCTAATTATTGTCGGTCAACAGTAAAATCGGGCCTAATTGCATTACCCTAATTTTCAGTATCGACAGAATATGTAAATGTTCATTTCTGTCCAACGTAAATGCTGTTACGCTCATGATCCATTCATTACAGTAATCGCATACAAGAGATTTCATTCACGTCCCCGATAAGCGATTAAATTTGACATTCTAACATTTTTACGACCGATAATTACCGAAAGATACATTGCTGTTTCATTTAAACGATTTTCACTCGCACCTCGAGGCTAAACTAATCGAACCTTCCCGGGAATTAAGTTTCAATTTTGTTATTTAGGTGCGGTTAAAACACACACGGCGTGCCACAAAAAGGCTTGAAGAAAAATTTATGGCCTTTAATAATGCTTAATTCGGGGGTGAGGTGACTGAAATGTGCAAGCCTCAAGTCCTGAATTATGACGTTTATGTTTTGGGACTCATATATTTTTCAAAGTATTTAAGATCCACGGATGCTTAAAAATGTATAGAGATTGAGTTGTGACTGAATAAGCAATGCTTCTTGAATTTTGAATGGACAAAGTAGACTAATGCCTGTCATTGTTATTAAAAAAATACGTCAAGTAGAAGTACTCTATACTTCCTACGTCTTCGATGGCGGTTTCAAAGAAAAGGGATGAGTGTGATCACTTAGATATGATGAATCTTCGACCTCTACATATCAAACTATATAAAATAAATCTATCATATTTCTGGGTCCATGGCAGATGTAGAGAAAATATATGTGACTTATTATGTCTAACAGGTGCATGATGTCACTGAGATCAGCAGCTTCTCAATAATAGAAGGTCTTTCATTGACAAAAAATATGCAATAATGTTCACCTCTTCAGCTCCCAACCTACAATTTTCAACCCCTCCAAACAATGTCTGAGAGTGACTAAGAATCTTTGAAACGTTGTAATACTGCCTTCCAGCGATTTTTATTTTTTTGTTCCGCCGTCACTGAATCACTTCTTAAAATATACGACCACCTAAATGATGGAAGAATTAAAAATTATATTCGAACTTCGATTCGCAAGTTTTCTGTTGCTTAAATATATCCGCATTTATGACCGTTTGTCAATTCGTGTCTGTTGTACATCAATGCATCATAAGTTCTGAGTCAATCTACTTGATGCAATATTCAGAGAACCATCATAGGCTGAGTTACACAACTTAAAGGTTAGGCGAAATCGGTGGTACACTTAAGTTGGAGTTTGCTACTTTTTCCTGAAAATAATCAGGAGCCTCTGAAACACCGAAAAAGCGAAGTTTGAGATACTTCTTTTGCCCCCACTCCACCGCCACTGGACCGATTTTCAAAAAGTACAAAGCTTTTATGTGCTTGGCAGTTTGGTAAACTTTTGAGAAAATTTTATCAAAGTCCGAGCGGTAATTTCCAAATTATAGAGGAGTTAAGTATTAGCGGACAGACAGACAGACAGACGGAAATGAGTTACATGGTTTTCCTGATGTACATGTCGTATAACATCCAAAAAATATAATATCTCAACTTCAAAATTTCTTGGATTACACAGCATGCTTTGTGAAACCAACGGAATCATTATCAACGCACATTATTAGTACACTAATCATCACACCACGGTTAATATGCGATAGTGGTCAGTACAATGTAATATCTGAAACTTATCCTGTATTTTCATGATGATAATTCCCAATTCTTGTCTAATCAGTCGAAACCACATATGTTTAAAATTCTTCTTCACTGAACGGAATTACGGTGACCTTTTTCAAGTTCAATTGACATTTATTGTCAATGTCAATTGAACTTGGGATCAAGACGTTGTTCCATAAAGAAGAGCTTCAAACATATTTCTTTTTGACTGGCTAGATAAGCATGGGGTCAGTACGTCAAGTCATAAAAATGTCAAACTGGCAATTAACAATTTAGGTTAAGCGGAGAAATTTTCGAGTTAGCTCGCTTGTCTATTTAAGCTCCACTCAAATTTGAGTGTACTATGTGCAACAAAAACATGGAAGTTATGGTTTAGCTTAACTTAAAATTAACCAACCGGGCATAAGTGGCATTTCTTTTTATTCATAAATCTAGTCCTGTGAAAGCTTAAAATTCTGTATTAATAAGGTAACCCGTACAACAAATACTAATTAAGATAATTGAATCAACAT